TTTTGATAAGACAAGCTTGTTTGTTTGCTCTCGTTAACATTTCTATCTAAGGTGACTTGGCCAATCCCACATGCACTTAACCTTGCAGTCTGTATTCTAGAGCATCTTTAATACAGAAATAATAGTAAATCTAGTACAGCTGATGACGGCTGAATCTTCAATTCTTGTGTCAATAGATGATAGCATGCAAATTTTGGATAGTAAGAGTTTGATTGGAATATATGAGAAAAGGTAGTGGACAAGGAATCCAGAGTTTTTAACCTGAGAAGCCGAAAGGGTAGAATTATTGTCATCTGAGATGGAGGACAGCAGGTAGATGAGATTTGGAGAAGGAAGGTGAATTCAGTTCTACATGTGTTAAGTTCGAACATTGCATTGTAGATACAGAGTAAGCAGTGGCTTTATATATGGAGTTGGAGAGAAGCATGTAGATTGACATGAAAATTCAAGATATTAAACTGATACTTCAAGCCATGAGACATAGTGAGATCACAAAGAAAGCAGCAGACTCAGCCCTCAGCTTTGGCTATGTCAGCCATCAGGAATTTGAGGGGACCAAAAGAAGAAACACCAGTGAAGAAACACCAGTGAGTTAGGACCCAAGGGAAGGAGTTTGATATCCTGGGAGACCAGTGTCTTAATCTAGTTTCATGCAGGAAGCAGAGCTGAGATAGGCTTTTTTGGAGACAGTTTTATTTGGGGACCTGTTAATAAGTCGAATTTATAAGATTGGGACAAGTGAAACAGGAAGAAGGCGAGGCCAGTCCAAGAGTGTACTGTCCAGCTGGTCATTTATATGAGCAGTTGGAGTTAGGTCCTGCTGAAGTTCTCCGAGAAAACAAGAAGAACATGCCTGTGGGTGGGAACCAGAGTAGCGTTTATCTAATAGGTTCCAGCCCCACATTGATGGGAGTGTTGCCAGTGGTGGTAACGCTTCAGCATCCAGGATCATGTGTGTCTGTGAATTGCCGAGGAGGAGTTGTTAGGCATCCTTCACTGCACATCTCAAAGCAGAAGGTGAACCAGAGAGTACAGCCAAGGGGAGATGCCTCAGGTGGTGTGAAAATGTGAGGCAGGCACAAGAGGTATTTTATATCGACTCTTCCCGTTAAGTGCTGGCCACTATGTCTAGCATCCTGCAAAGCTTTTCAAAGTGGTGGCTGGCCACAGTCTCCAGTAGACTTGTAGAGGAGAATTAAAGGAAACAGTATTCATTCATCATTTCAGTTCTCTATTTCCTATTCTAGATTTTCAGCTCACACTTCAGTGAGCTTTTTCTGTATAAAGTGACCCAGACAGACACCTGAACATTAAGACGCTTAGTTGTTTGTCTTATTTATGGCGTAATTGCTGCAGATGCCTACTTAAGAGTCACCATTGGACTTCTGGGGAGATGGCGGAACAGTAAGCAGTAGAGAAAAGAGCCTCTCTGAGAGAAACAGTCCAGATGCTAGAATATAGGATGGTGGGGAAGACAGGAAGGAAGGAAGTGGATCCCCTCAACCTACGAAGAAGCTAAAGTGAGAATTGAAGCCCCTAGAGAGAGTAAAAACAAGAAAAACTTAAGGAAGAAGACAGTGGCTGGCAGTGCCTTCACTTGGAGCCAGACCCACCATGCAAGAAGATGCACAGTGAAGGTGGTGACTAGCAAGCCCAAAGGCCTCTGCAAAGAGATGTGGTGGCAGAGGGGAGCAGCGGACCTATAGAACTGCAGTTGATGGCGGTGAATGTAAGGACTCAGCCCTCCCGCGAGAAGGGGGGATTGGTCATTTTGGAACCAGAACTGCAACCAGCATTTTCAGCCACTCGTAGTTTGGAGCAGATTGGTAGAAATCCCTTGGATTGAGTCCCACTCCTGTGCTGAGGTTTTCCTAAAGCTATCCCCAAGCAGCTCCACCCCTGCACTTATTCTATGTGGTGGCGACTCCCTGCTGTTAACCATCTCCCTAGGCAGGCAATAGCCTGCCCCGCCCTTGTTTGCACTGGACCAGCCACTATGAGCCAAAGCTGGCTGGGAAAAGCAGCAGACAGCTCTACACCAACATACCCCGTGGTAGCCATCAGATATCCCTAGCCAGCACTGGCTGGACAAATCAAACAGTCTTGCTTCAGAAAAATTGTAGCCAACACAGGAAGTGCTGGGGACCCCACTACTACTCCTTGTTTGGAAGAAATCAGAAACATGACAAGAGGAAGAATTCTGCAAAAAGCAGTCTCTGGCTTCAAACTTAAGCAGTTCAGGTTCAAGAGATACAAACACGAAAGAGATCGAGAGCCACATACCTGAAGTTTCTGAAGTAATGGCAACTGAAGTAAAAAAATAACTTCATGAGGTTATAAAAGAAATTAGAACAGAAATACTCATGTAAAAGAAAAAATGAGAAACAACAAACGAATTGCTAAGCATCCCTAAGAAGATGTAGATGGAAGAATAGAGGAGCATAGGAAAAGAGGGAAACCTTGAAAGAAGAAAATAAAAAAAGACAGAATACGTGAAACAGATTCAGAGAGATTACCAAGAAATTGAAAAATCCATTGAAAGCTGGCAAAACTGCTTGAAAGAAACTAAAGATAGACTTTCAGACCTTAAAGACAGGTTTGTAGCTTGTGGTCGTGAAAGGAAAGATCTCTTAAAAATAATAAAGAACCAGGAGGTAACAATTCAAAGGCTACAGGATGACACAAAGAACCATAATTTAAAAATAATAAATGTGAGTGAAAAAGCAGGGGTCAACACAAACTACATATACAGGTTATTTATAGAAATAATTACAGAAAGCTTCCCAAGCATAGGAAAAGGAAATGATATTGAGATAAGTGAGGTTTACAGAACTCGAGCCAGTTATAACCAAAATAGATTTACACCCAGACATAAAATAATCAAGATCCCAGAAATTCAACACAAGAGCAGAATATTAAAAACTATTAGAAAAAAGAAACAGGTCACCTATAAAGGAAAACTCATCAGAATCATGACAGACTTCCTGATACAAACCATCAAATCAAGAAGAGCGTGGAGTGAAGTATTTCAAGCCCTGGGAGGAAACAACTTCCAACCCAGATTAGTGTACCCTGCAAAACTAGAGAAACAAAATACTTCCATGACAAAGACTGAAGGAAATCATGACCACCAAACCAACCCTACAAAATACACTGAAGGACATTCTAAAGATAGAGAGAAAAAAAAAAAGACAATGGTTTCAGGAACAGTGGCAGAGGGGGCTCACTGAGTGAGACAGACAATGGAATGTAGGCAACCAGTGGCAGGAAAATAGCATGGCAGAGATGAGGCAGAGTGTGTTGGCCATAATCACTAATGTAGGTGACTTCAATTCACCAATATAAAGAAACACAGAGTGGATCAGGAGACAGGGTCCATCGATATGATTTATACAAGTAACACATTTAACCTGAAAGGGGGTTAATAAACTGAAAGTCAAAGGTGAGAAAACAATGCTCTATGTAACAGGGAACCAGAAAGAAGTGGGGGTAGCTTGTCCATCAGCTGCTGACTGGTTAGAAAGCCATGACACTTTCCTACAGTGGAAAATTACACAACTATAGAAAGATAACCTTGAAGCTCTTTGTAGGTAAATGGATACAACTTGAGATCATGCTCAGTAAAAAGGTTCAGAGTCACATGGGTGAATAGTGTATTGGCCTCCCTAGTATAAAAACCAAAGGAGTTAGTGGGTTCCAAAATGTACAGTACATCCAGTGAAACTGAAAGAGGAAGTGTCTAAAAAGGGAAGGTAGTGGCCATTGTTAATCTATTATTATGATTTGAAACCTGTATTGTGCTCATTGTTCTGTTTAGTTGGGTTTTATTCTGTTTCAGTTTGTTTAATTGTATTATATTTGATGGCATGGACAGCTATTTCAAAGATAACAAAATATATTATAACTATTTTGTATTTCCTGTTAATCTTGATTTGAAGCCCTGTATTGCTTTCATTGTTTTGTTTTGACTGATTTTATTCTACCCTGTTTTGTTTGGTTGTATCATGTCTGATGGTATAGGGCAACTACTTTTAGGACAATAAGATGCATTATGATATACATTGTGATTTTACTGTTTTCTTTTGAAGTCCTTTACTGTTTCATTGTTTTGCTTTTATTGGTTTTATTTTTTACTATTTTGTTTGATTTTATTATGCCTGATGGTATGGGCAATTCTTTTGATAACAAGAGGCATTATGTTAGCCATTGTAGATCTCCTTGTATTTTGTTTTTAAGTTATGAACCATGTTTATCCATTTGTTTTGATTGACTCTTCTGTTTTATTTCATTTGGTTTTATTCTCTTCAAAATAAAATTTAAAAAAGAGTTACCTTGGATAGGGTTGTGCAGTTTGAATTCCCTTGATTCTTGTGTGCTCTCTCCTGTCTCCTATGTGTACCATCACCCTTTTGAGATTCTTTTGGTTATTAGGGTCAGTTGTAAAGAGTAATATCATTATAGGATAAGGATGATTGCTTTTTAATATATCGGTACTAAATGAATTTAAATTGTGATAATATATAAGTATGTCTTGATAATTTAGACCCCTTCTACAAAATGAGGAATAATGGGTTTTCCTTGTGGTCATACCTTATTTCATGCTCTTGATGAGAACTGTTTGTTTATCTTAGTCCATGTGTCAGTGTTTGAGTGTCTTGCGGGTGACATCTAGGTGGTCTTGTCATGTATTGCTTTTTTAGGGCTTGACATGGCTCCTTATTTTGATTACATCCCAAAGACGATGGTCAAGCTAATTGGAGGGAAATATATAATGTGCATGTGCTACCATTTATGGATTTTATTTATTTATTTATTTTGTCTTTTTTCGTTTTTGTCGGTACCAGGGATCAAACTCACGACTGCCTGCTTGCAAGGCAGGCGCTTATGCTGCTGAGCTAAATCCCCAGCCCCTATGGATTTTATTTTTAAAGTTAGCAGTTATAGCTTGTTTCCAGTTTGATAATGTTTTAGACTTTCTTCTTTTTTCTTTCTTTAAACAGATAGGAGGACAAGGACAGAATCACCAGCACTGGCTGAAGGTAAATATGTCTTTGGGAGAAATGATTATGCAAATATAAATATATTATTATTCAAACAAAAACCTATATTGGTTAACTATATTTAAGGAAAATATTCTATACATTGAACTATTAAAAATAACTAGGAAATACTCTGTTGTTAACTTTCTGATTTGGAATAGGTAGTAGTGGGGAAAATGTAAATTAATTAGAACTTTTTTTTTACAGCTCTCTTTCAGTAGGAGAGGTATGTGCTTTTCTTTGAATTCCCTTGTAAGTCATTGTAGTTATCACTAGTACAGTTCATCAATAGTAATCTATGCCTTAATTTTGGTAATTTAGTATAATTTCTTCCAGCCCCCACTGGAAACTAGAAAGGAAGACATCTTTGTATTTTTTCAGAATTATATCTATTACTTGTTCTTTTCTGTCTTTTTCAAAAAAAGCCACTGAAGTAAATTATACTTAATAAAAAATATAGTTACCATTTAAGTGTCATGAGTGCTTAAACATTTGTAATTCTGATTTGCCTGCTGTTATTTGACTTACAATAAGTTAATAGGTATTTGAAAATATATTTTTTAATGAGTGTACTTTGTGTTAAGTAAAAATGATCATTTTAAAGTGCCTTTTTGAGCTCTTCCTAGTCATGTTAGACTTGGATTTACATTTCAGACTGTCTCACCCTTCTGTTAGAGCTGATACGACAGTGTGGCCCTTCAGAGCTCTTACACTGCACCTACTCCATGTGTCACAGTGCAGAAGCCATTAAGGCCTCTGAAAAACTGGCAAGGCTTATATATTTTGCCCCAGCATAATGATTATAGTAATGAATGATTGAAATAAAATGCATAGAATTAAAAAGGAAACCAGTTGGGTTGAAACACTGTCAAGAAATATTTAAAATAGAAGTGTACACCGGGTGTGATTGGAGACTAAAGCAGGCTAATTGGAGGCTAAAGCGGAAGAATTGCTGCAAATTCAAGGCCAGCCTGAACTAGATAGTAAGACCCTGCTCCCACCCCCCAAAAACCCGTTTGTGATAAGAGTAATACGTTTCTCAGAGTACCAGCTTTAGGAACAGTTCTGCTATTCACTATAATTTTAATTAGTAATGAATGCATACTTGTAATTTCTATTAATGACAACTTTAAAGGCATTTCTAATATTAGAGTAGTTTGTGGACTGTATTATAATTGAAGGAATTGTTAGCTTTGGTATACAGAAAGGTTTCTATTCACATTGCCTTCTATAGCCCTGAGATTGAAATCCTCTCAGTGAAAAGTTGGTTCAACTTTACTTTCTCCATCATATTTGATAAATACAGTGTTTATGACTATATTCTTTTAGAATATCCTAATGCTAGCCAGGCATTATGGCGCACGCCTGTAATCCCAGCACTCGAAAGGCTGAGGCAGGAGGATCATTGCGAGTTTGAGACCAGTTTGGAGTAAAAACTGAGCCTGAACTATGTATAATGAGACTGTCTCAGAAAGACAAAAATAAACAAATAAAAAGAACAACACACAAAATTCCCCACCAAATTTAATGCTATAGGCTAGAGGTTTGTGAAATAATTGAAAAAAATTCTGATTGCTGGTTAGTAATAATAGAAACAGCATATTTTGTATAGAAGGAGTATAAAATAGATGTTAAAATTCAAATGTACGTATCTTAAAAGAACTCACTTTTAGATTTAAGGAACATGAATTATGTAAAAAAGAAAAGGTACACACATACATAGGTGGGTGTGTGCGTGTGTGTGAAAAGCTGAATATTTCTAACAGCTATCAAAATTGCCATTGGGAGAATGTAGGTAGCAGTCCGATGCTTGTAATCTGGAAGTACAAGAAAGGGTAACAACCTGGAGAAAGTCCCCAAATGTCTTGCAGTTCCGTCAGCAGCATGAACTATATATAGTAATCGTGTGTCAGCCCATGCTAGGAAGAACCTGGAATGGTGTCACTAAATTCTGATGCTGATCCAGCTCTGTAACTGACTGAATTTTGGGAATAGCTGGCCCACTGAAGTTTGGCTGGTCACACAGACATCTTTAACTTTGATTTTGAAGGGGGCATGATGGGACATTTGATTTTTTTTTTTTTTTTTTTTGTCTGTGTTCTGGCAATGGTGATACTTGGGCCTGTCAGTGTGATCTGACCCTGATGCTGTACCTTAAAGATGTTCTCAAAAGCTGTACAGAACTATCAGACTTAACAGTGGCCCAGCCTTTTTACTTATTTGTTGCTTTTGTCTAAGTCACCAAATTTCTCTAGTCTTCAGTTTCTTTCATAAAGTTCAGGATTTGTGCTACATGATTTCAAATCCCTTCATGGTCTTCTGATTTTTTTTCTCGTGTTTTCTGTCCATTGTCACGTCTTTCATTTCCCTTTCTCCCATTCCCTTTGGATGTGTGGTTAAAATCATCAAAGAAGCTTAGTAATGAATTTAGCTATATATTATTATTATTATGAATTTAGCTATATATTTCTCTTATATGCTATGCAAAGCTTTAAAAGCTGTAAAAATTACATGACATGCTTAGTTTAAAAATTTTATATGATACGTGTATATTTTGTTCTTAATAATGGCTCAAAAAGTTAAGCACATTCCATAATACTAAGAACAACTGCTTAAGAAATCACTATTTATTCTTTTAAATCTTTTTCTTTTTCCTTCTTTATTTTTTTTTCCATTCTTTTTCTCTGTCTCTCTCTCCTCCTGCCTCCCCCCTACCCCGTTTCTGTTTAAGACAGGGTCTTGCTATGTAGTTTATGGTGGACCAGAACTACTGTGTATCCCAGGCTGAACTTGAAAGCGCTGCAGTCCTGCCCAGCCTCCTGACTGCAGGAGTATGGTTGTGCCACTACACCTAGCTCTAAATCCAGTTCTACAGTGTTGTATAGTCAGTGGTACCAACCCTTGTTATTTGAAAATAATTTGGAGATGCTTTAAAAATACCCAGGGGATTTGTCTTTGCTCTTCAACCGAAGTAAAACAGTATTTTTAAAAAATATATAATGGGGAAAATTATGAATACATATACATTTGATTTTAACAACCACTTCTGTAAGATCAGAGTGTAACTGATGATTTTCGTTGCATTCTGTTTAGCTTATAAGAGACAGTGATCTATAAGTATAAAATGATTCAAGTCCTTACCTTAAAAACTAGTATTACCAGGAAAACAAGCATGTTATTGCTTTTTATAAATTTTGGTTGGTTGTGATAAACCTAGAGAAGTTATATTTAAGAGAATGATTTTAAGTTCAGGTAGGTTAATTTACATTTAAGAACAAAGAAAACACTGGTACCCTTTTGCCGTTTCACTGTATTGGAGTCCTTTATTGTCCCAGGCCCATGGTGGCAAGCCTGTGGCACACATGCTGCTGCAAGCTGTTTGTTAGCGTTGAAAGCCCTGAAGAGTTTGCCAGCACTGTGCTAGCACATCTAACTGTGGAAGGGCATTGTTTGGTTATCATTTGTCTTTTCCTAATAATTATACTTTCAAAAATTTTTCTTTTTGTTTTTTGTTTTTTTTTCTCAATTTGAAAGTTTTAGTGGTAGTATTAATTCTCGTAGCAATATCTGAAAATGTTTCAGTTTGTTTTGGGTGAATTGTATACACTTAACTTATGACCATACATAATGCCATAGTATATCAAACATGTAAAATTCCATTCATAAAGTTACACCCTTGTTTAGCCTTTAGAGCATCTAAACCCTCTATTGGACACTTTGGATACAAAAATGAAGGTAGATTCACTCGGGAAAATGATTCTGTTTAGTCTATAATGTTAACAGAAGGTAGTCCTCATAATTACTAGAGAGGAAATGTCTTATTTGTAATTTTTTGCATATGTGAGTATATGTGTATAGTCTAATGGGTAATTTTCTTTGAATTTCACTTTACTATCTTTTCAAATATTTAATGATTTGTTAAACGGTACCAGGATTATTTTGGGTTGGTTCTGGGTAATCAATGAGAATTGGACCCAATGTGGAGAAGTTAATGTGTGAATGAATTTCAGCTTAGTACAAAGATTCTTGAGGGCACACTTTATGTTGTATTAATTATTCATCATTCAGTTGTTGCTGAAGTTTCTAAGTTTTTTCTAAAGATTTGAAGTCTAAAACTTGAGTCATGCAAATATTTTAAGCAGTGGCTAGAAGATTGCTTGGCATGATAGACTAAATTCAGACCAAGGGTAGATGGTTGAGTTTAAGGCTTCTGTGTGAACATGGATGGTCCCCTCCTGTCTGAGATTCTTGTGTGCCTGATGATTGGATGTAAAGCCATTCTGCCTATCACAAGGACTTTAAGAAGAGACCCCAGTCCACATGGAAAATTAAGGAAGACTTCACTGACAAGTGTACTTTATTTTTTAATTCAAATTATGAGAGAAGGAAAGCAGGACAGATTTAAGAGCATGGCCATTTCAGTGCTGGTAAGATAACTATAAATGGTACTTCACGCCTATACGGCAAGTTCTGACTTACTTTCTCTCAGTTGCAGACCTCCTGCTGTATCTGAGCAGTAGACATTTACCTCCCAACCTTGCTCTTCTGAGTTTCATCACTTTTGTAAGGGGTTATATTTGAATTATCCCCTGATAGGTTACCTATTCCATTAGTTTACTGCCTCATGTGTAAAGTTGCAATTTGTTTCATTTGATCTAAAGTTACTCTCTACATGGGATATGATTAGGCATTCTTCTTTTTTAAATGAATAAACTTTTTTGCTTGAATTGTTCATTTATTCATTTGATGCTAAGGGGGAAATGGCTGTATGGCAGAATGTCTGCTAGGGCTAGACTTTCAAAGATGAAAAGGTTGTAGACTTCTTAAATGTTTGGAAGAACTTCCTTATAAAACTTCTGGGAGCCAACATGTTGTTTATAAGCTATTTTAAAGAATACAAAAAAATTTTATATAAAATAGGCTTGATAGTAAAACTAGTAAGTATAGTTATAAGTCAGTCTTACTTATAGTCCAAATTGAAAACAGCAAACCAAATATAG